GAGGAGGAGGAGTTTGGGATCCACAGTGACCTACATGAAAGAGTGAGCTTTCTTGTTGAATAAAGTCAACTCTTGATGCTCAAGTGTCACATTAGAACCATTCGTGCTTAAAAGTTTAACTTATTGCCTTGTTGATAATTCATAAGTGTCATAGGTAATTGTTGGTTCCAATTGATGTGTGATTGATTCACCTTTGATTAGCTGGAATGGCTCTTAACTTGTGGAGGAGGTAACTACTTTATTTGCTTGAGGACAAGCAAAAGCTTAAGTTTGGGAGAGTTGATAAGTGGGGATTTTGACTATTTATTAACGCCTTTTAGCTTTTGTTTTAGTCCAAAATCGCTTAATTGTATTCCCGAAAACTGATAAAATGTACTTAATTGCAGGAATATTGGAAGATGAGCCCCCGAGATGAAATCCAACTCAAAAAGGAGTAAGCTGAACTCAAGGACAAAAACATGCACAAAAGCTCAAAGTGCGGACCGCAGAATATCATCTGCGGTCGCAGGTCGTGAAGCAATTCCATTAGAGAATGTTGCAAGATGCGAACTGCACACGAATTATGCGGCCGCAGAAGCTGGGTCAGAGCAAAAGTTCAGAGAACCTGCACCTCCAGTCCAACACAAGTGCGGACCGTACAATTATTGTGCGGCCGCACAATTCCATGTGCGGACTGCAGAAGAACAAAGTGCGTTTGCGGGCATTATTGTGCGGACCGCAGAAAGAGGGCAGTGCGGCCGCACTCCATTATTATGCGGCCGCAGATTTCCAACCTTTTCAAGATGAAGCAAAGTGCGGACCGCACATGGAATTGTGCGGCCGCAGAACCTCCGAAAGGGCATTTTTGTCCGAAAATTCCAGTTTTGTATAAATAGAATAGTTTTACTTTTTTACGTTAACTTTTGACATCAGCTGCTATAGTAGATGGTTTCGTTTACTATTTTTAGTAGTTTTTGCTATTTTGAGCTTTTTGAATATTTCTTTCATCATTTTAATTATCAATATGAGTCTAATTATCATTTCTTCTCCTGTTTAAATTTTCACTAGGGTTGTGACACAACCCTAGTGTGTAAACTTAACGGGTGTTTGATTTATTGTTTGTTTATGGTTGAGTGTTTATTATCTAGCCTTATTCTTGTTTTTATTTGAAGAATTAATGGTTGCAAATATTAATTCGTGCCTATTTGACTTAGTCTCTACTTGACAAAGAGAGACATATTCTAGGAAAACTTGACTAGCAAGAAATTGGGTCAATCGAGAGATTGATAAGACCAATTAAAGGGTTAAACCTAGAGATAGTAAAACCCGACTTGAGCTTCTTATCAACTATTTTGTTCAATACCCATTTGGACTTGAAAAATCTAAATTGGGCAAAATCACTCTCTGGCCGAGAGGTATTGAGTGGGTACTTGAGTATTGATAGCTATAATACACCCCGATCAATAAAACAAGCTTTAAAGTTTACAACTCATTAGGCAAACACCTAGGTGAAGGTCGTAGCCCTAGGCCTTTTATATTATTTGGAAAACAACAAAAATAATTTTCTAGTTTCATTCTTTGAATCGCAATCGTAGTTTAGTTTAGATTTTTAAACAAAACCAAATATTGCGGAAGTGCAAATTTAGATATAAAAACTCACGCACTAAGATATATATTACTAACACCCATTCATATAGCTCCCTGCGAAATTCGACCCCGACTCTTGTTGGGTATTACTATTGCATCGACCGTTTTCATAACCTCAAAGAGAGGAGTGAAAATGGACGAGATCAATGGACAGTAAAGGATGTATCTCTCTCACATATGAAAATCTTTGGTTGTATTGCTTATGTGCATGTAAACTCCAATGATAGAGATAAGCTTGATCCTAAAGCCAAAAATTATTTCTTTAATGGCTATGGTGATGATAATTTTGGTTATCGATTTTGGGATGATCAGAATAGAAAGATCATAAGATACAAGAACGTCACATTTAATAAAAATGTGATGTACAAAGACAAGCTTGGATTAGAACCAACCAGCACCAGCAGACAGACATCCGAAATAGTTAAGTTGGAAGAAATCTCAGAAAATAAAATAGCAAAAGGGATTACAACTGATTCTGATATTGAAGATGCAGAACCAGAAATTGAATCTGGATCAGAACCAGAACCAGAGATAGAATCAGATGAAGAACCAGATCTGGAGCCAGGACTTGAATCAAATTCGAGATCAGTTACTCCTGAACCTATATTAGGGAGATCTAAAAGAGTAGAAAATGCTCCAGATAAGTTAACTCTCTCTCTCTCACTCTCCACAATTTACTTCTGACTGATGCTGGAGAACCAGATCATTTTGTTGAAGCGATACAAGTGATAAAACTCTAATAAGTGGAAGCTAGCTATGAAAGAAGAGATGAATTCTTTTCAAAAGAATAAAACATGGATAATGTAAGGACCTGGTCGGTCGTTTTGAGTATTACAATCCTATTCCCCTATTTACTGCTCAATTTATGATTTACGGTTGTTATTTGAGTTGCCGGGATAATTGGTTCGGGCCCGATGAGGTTTTGGAGTGATTTGGAACACTTAGTTCCAAGGTTTAGAACATAAATTAAAAAGGTTGACCGGATTATGACTTATGTGTAACGACCCCGAAGAAATTTTTGCTAAGAAAATTGAGGTTTTGTGGTGCCGAGGTAGATCAATTAGTACAAAGGTCCCCGGCTCGGACTTTTCGGGTTGAACAATGAATTGGCGAGTAAAAGAAAATTTCGGGCAGGAAAATACCTTTTTACGGCCCACTATGTGGCCACATAATCACTCTTCGGACCGCATAATGGCCGCAAAGTGAAGCAGAAATGAGCCAAGTTTGAGGACCATTGTGCAGTCAACTATGCGACCGCATAATCATTTTGCGGACCGTAAAATCTATCGCAGAATAAACTTGAGATTTTCCAAGGGAAGTTATGCGGTGCATTATGCGACCGCAGAACAAGTCTGCGGTGCATTTTGCGATCGCATTACGGGTCTGCGGGGCCGCATAACTACCGCAGACCCAGGCAGGCGACCCCCAATTTTGGGCACCAATTTTTGCGGCCGATATGCAGACCGCATATGAATTCTGCGATCGCATATCAATTCTGTGATCGTATATGCGACCGCAGAGTGTGTTTCTGAGCTTTATTTTTCTAGTTTTATAAACCCGACCCTATTCTTATAAAATAATATTGGGAGTCATTTTAAAGGGTTTCATCTGATATTTTAGAGAGTGGTGAGAGCATCTTAGAGAGAGAAAGTGAAGACTTAGTCAATTGTTCATCAATTCTTGTTCAAGACTTGAAAATTTCACAAGGATATTGCTAGGGCTTCAAAGAGGTAAGAATTTCTTCCCCCAATTCTTCAATTTAGATTTTTAGGGTAAAACATGGGAGGTTAAGAGTATGATTCTTAGGTGTAAGAGTATCAATTATACATACACATACCAATAAGGTTGTGAAAAAATTGTTGAGTTCAAATGGGTAAAGATTGGGTTGATAATGGTAGAAATCTTCATAGATTTTAATTGAAGATTTGAGGGTCGAGTTGATGTCGGAATTTGGTGAAATTTATATGGTTGGACTCGTGGTTGGATGGGCATTCATATTTTGTAACTTTTGTCGGGTTCCGAGATGTGGTCCCCACGGGCGAATTTTAAGTACAATTTCGGACTTTGTTGGAAAATTTATATTTTCATATGGAATTAATTTACTATAATTCGCATTGACTAAATCGAATTAATTATGGCTAGATACGAGACTTTTGGACACCAATTCGCGAGGCAAGGGTATAACGGAGTAAGAAATTATGCGATTTGAGGTAAGTAATACTTCTAAACTTGGTTCTGAGGGTATGAATCCCTGAATTACATGTTATATGAATTGTTTGGAGATGACCCACATGCTAGGTGATGGGCGTGTGAGCGTGCATCATAGGAATTGTGACCAAATTGATTCTGTGGAGTTGCATAATTAAATAAATATCATTATTCGCACATCCTCCATGTATTAGTGAAATTGAGCTGAGACTCATGTTAAAGATCACGATTTGGCTACGCGCCAATATATTTTGGAACCCACATGTGTCGTATTGTTCTTGAACTATTTGTTAAATTTATAATTTTGTACTCACTTACATATCATATCTCAGTCTCTGTTGTCTTTCATTGATACTTCATATCATCATGTCGGGTTGATTCTTAATGTTATTGAGAGCCCGAGAGACTGGATATTCCGAGTGATAGTTATGTTTATTTATTTATGCTTAGATCTGTTTATTTATGCTTAGATCTGTTTATTGAGAGCCTGAGAGACTGGATATTCCGAGTGATAGTTATGTTTATTTATTTATGTCTTTCATTGATACTTCATATCATCATGTCGGGTTGATTCTTAATGTTATTGAGAGCCCGAGAGACTGGATATTCCGAGTGATAGTTATGTTTATTTATTTATGCTTAGATCTGACTATTATAGCGCTTGGGTTGAAGGAGCCCCTCTGGAGTTTGCACCCCCACAGTGAGCGTTGTTGATATATATATATATATATGGGATCACTACAAAAAGTCGGACCTATTGTGGCGACTAAAGTCGCTACATAGGCACATAAAGTCGCCACTAAAGACATACAATGGCGACCTGAAGGTTGCTGCAAGCATTACCGTAACTGAATATTTTTTGTGATGAATCTACTCACCACAAATAATTAAAAAAATATGCCACAAAAAAGCTACACGAAACAAATCTTAGGTAGGTCGCTACTGAAGAATGACATTTAGTAGCTTTTGTAGTCGCAACTCTAGTAGCTACAATAGCAGATAATCAGTAGCGACCTTAGGGTTGCCAAATATACTAATTGCTTCTGCGACAAGGTTCAGTCACCACTAAAACCTGTTTTTTCAACAACTACAATAGCGAAAATTTAATACATTTTCATCAATTGCTATCAATATTAAAATCTTCCAAAATTATTCAACAACCAATAAAATTATTCAACAAGTCAAATATTATAAATGCTTTCATTATCACAAAGTGAGTTAAATATATACCACACAATACTACATTGCTCATTGTCATTGTACACATATACATACGACAAAAAGGAAAAATAAAATTTAAGTGTCTTCAAACTCTTCCTTGGTCAACGCCATTTGTGGTTGTTTAAGAACCTTCTTCCTGTTATTAAGAAAAAGATAACACATGACCACTTTGACAATCTCATAATTTAATGCTAACATTAAAAGGGGTGACCACGATAAAATTGTAGTAAGAACTTAAACACATTAAACTATGTATATAAGCTGATTGGGAAAAAAACCATCGATATTAGAAGGACTATACGAAAATCTACCAATATCAAATACATTAACCACTAGAAGTAGATCAAGATGCACTAGAAATGTACACCGGAGAAGCTAACTTAATACAAGCTGATTAGAAAAATAAATAACTTTGTTCACCTCTTCAAAAAATGCCTGCATGAAGCTCCCAAGTCCCAGTGTATTTTTCAAATTTTTCTTTAACTACCAATACCTGCCAAGTGGAGTAACTTAATTCCTCTTAGAAATGTTATGGCAAACTAGTCTCACCTATCATATTAATTACTCCTAACTTAAGTGGAACAATAATTAAACTTTATAGACCTGTCCATTGTTGTTCAGAATGAGAGCAACAATACAAACGTAATGAGAAGCATTAGGAGGTTGTGTGTGAGGAGTATCTAGAATTCAATAGACTAGCATCAAGTGTGTTGCTACAACATGATAATACCAAAATCCTTCCTCTAATAACCACCACCTAAATTTGTGGCCCATAGCCTAAAAAATGGTATGTCTAGAACATCAGTATAGAACTAGAACCAGAAGCATTCTTCGAGCAAAAATTACAAATATTGTAATGATACAGTTAACTAAAGCAATTGACTTTCATCAACTCCCAAGGAAGAGTTTCCCGTAAAAGTTAATAAGAATTATGATTTGTCAAAAATACAAGCTAACAATAATTATCGATTCAGCAAATTAAGCTAATGAAGAGACGAATTCCACAAGGTAACAATATATAAATCTTCAATGCAAATATGTTATATTCACTATTAGTATATACCTGGTTTACAAATATTTTTTGTAAAGGATTCTCATTAGCATTTAACTGTCAAAAAGAAAAGGTGATCTGCAAATACTAATTGTAAAGACATTAAAACAAAAGTATTTAAAATTAAATTTATCTCTGAACTGTCTTCAAGGTCAAACATTGACAGATGATTTGGTCAATGGACCTTAGGCAACAAAATATATTTTATTTACTTGTACTTCTAGATTCTAATTTCAAGTAGATGTTGTTCATTACCACAAATGACACCAATAAATATATTCTCAGAGCTGGAATCAAAAGAAAATGCAGCAGCAACCATCTTTAGTTTGTAACTTGAAAATGAGAAAATAATAATAATAATAATATGCAACAGGGGCCAACCGCCTCATGGATCAACTATTTCTTTTTGCTGTATAGAGAACAAGCATACATGATAATGATTAGCAAAGTTAACATATGGGTGGTCTGTACTGATAATTATAGGTCAAATGGAACTCAAGCGCATGAAATTAATGTTCAAACTAGAATCTTCCAAACTAACATGACGTAATGTACAATTAGCTATCTTTGAAGGTGTCCTAGTTCACATTGTCCAAATTCAGCAAGAAAACAAGTCAAAGATGCCCAGCAAGCTCCATGGTTCCTTTTTACTAGTAAAAACAACCTCATCACAGACAAGGAAATAGCAAAACCCATGATAGATATTAGATATAATCCCAAGAAACAAATAATTATACATCAAATAAATTTTACAAAAAATGAGGGTTATTTAACTTTAAATGATTATGGACACAGAGAGAAAGTCTTCTATAATTTAAGAAGGACGCCAAAGTTCAGAGAATATATAGAAAATCTCAGAAACATAAATACACATGTGCGCTTACCATTAATTGAATCTATTCTCTAGATCTCTGAACCAATCCAGCCGAGCAGCCTTTTGATTCCGCCATGCTCGCTTAAAGAGCTCTGCATCAGTCGCCGAAACCTAATATTCCCAATAATCATCCCTCGAATCCATTTGCTCAGAATCTAACGATTGAAGGCCTTAAGGTAGAGAGCAGAAAATCTGTATGCTTTTCTTACAATTCTCTTCACATTGAGTTGATTCACTAGGGCTCGGGTAGATTTAGGTTAGATAAGAGCAAAAAATATGGAGGAGAAAGATAAGAGAGAGAAAAAGAGACGCTTGAAGGGAGAAGGAAAATCGCCCATGGAACTTAATAGAGAAGCGATGTTGTGGAGGAATTTTGGGGAGAGGATATCGGGTTTGCTGGGGAAAGGCCGAATGGAATTTTGGGGGAAATAAGATTTGGGAACTAAACCTATAAACTTTAATGTACATTTACATATCAAAACAAAAGAATTAGAGGCGACCTAAAGATTGCCACTAGAAGGTCTACTTTTAGTAGCGACCTGATCGCGTCAAATGATCTTTTGTGGCGACTACTTTATCAGTTGCCGCTAAATACCTGTTCGACTGTATTTTATTAGAAACTCTGGTACGCAATAGTGGTGACTTCGCTAGAGTCGCCACTAAAATGTTATTTTTTGTAGTGACTAAAAGCTTCGCTCCTGAAACTATCTTTTTTTGTGGCAACCTTTTCAGGTCGCCGTTAAACTAGTTTTTGTCACCACAATAAGTCGCTACAAAAAATCATATTTCTTGTAGTGGATGAATCTTGTCTGGACATGGATCTTGCTATAGATATATATATTGAGTGACGGATCTTCCCTGGGCATGGATCTTGCCCGAAGTATTTACATTGAGGGGTGGATTTTTCCTCGACATGGATCTTGTCTGAATCATTGATATTTGCGAAATGGATCTTCCCCTGGGCTGGATTGGCCTTATACAGTACTGAGTGACTGACTATCAGTTGATGAATATACATATATATTTTGGGATGGATCTTCCCTGGGCTGGATTGGCCATATACAGAGTACTGAATGATTGAGTATTTTAGATTGTGAATACACGAAGTTTTTATTAAGGTGCATCACATACAGTATGTACATTGGCATGTAGATACAGAGATATCATATTCCTCATATTGTTCAGAATTGATCTGTTTTATTTGTACTGAAAGCAACTGTTGAACTTGAAAGCATGCCTACATTTATATATTGTTATTATCTATACTGGATTGTACCTGCAGAGCTCGTCACTACTTTCAGCCCAGAGGTTAGTTTTGTTACTTATTGAGTTGGTTGTACTCATACTACACTCTGCACCTCGTGTGCAGATCCAGGTACTTCCGTATACGGCGGTTGCAAGATTTTAGGATTTATCTGTTGGAGACTATCAAGGTAGCTGCTCGGTGTCCGCTGACCTTGTCTCTCTTTCTTTCAGTTATTGTACTGTTCTATACTTTCAGACAGTGATTTATCAGTCAGACTTTGTATTCATATTAGATGCTCATGTACTCAGTGACACCGGATTTTGGGAATGTAATTTTATGTTAGGAATTGTGAGATTTTCTATGAAATTCAATGTTATGTTTTCAAACTTAATGAAAATTGCAGTTTATTGAGGTTGTCGGTTTTTCTAGTATTGAGATAGGCGCCATCACGACAGGTTAGGATTTTGGGTCGTGACAAGTTGGTATTAGAGCCTAGGTTACATAGGTCTCATGAGTCATGAGCAGGTTTAGTTGAGTCTTGTGGATCAGTACGGAGACGTCTGTACTTATCTTCGAAAGGCTGATGAACCCTTAGGAAAATTTTACTTTCTTGTATTCTATCGTGCGAACTTGTTGATTTCGGAAAACTAAAATTCTGTTATTCTATTCTCTCACAGATAGTGAGGACACGTACTACCGGATCGGACGGGTCAGCCACCAGTTAGGGCCGCGAGAGGCTGGGGCCGTGGTAGAAGCCGGGGCCGAGGTAGAGGTCGAGGTGTCACTCGTACAACAGTTGGAGCAACACCTGTAGCATCACCAGTTGCTCCAACTCAGGAGCAGATTCCAGATGTAGTTGAGCCGATGGGACCCGCTCAGGCACCAGTTGTGCCCATTGAGTTTCTAGGCCTACTGGAGGCTTTGGCTCATATATTGATAGTTTGCACTGTCCTTGCTCAGGCAGTTCGGCTCAGGACATACCAGCCACTTCTTAGGCCGGGGGAGGTACTCATACCCATGTTGCCCGTGCTCCAGAGCAGGTAGTGTAGGGACTTTAGATATCGGGGGCACTACCAGTCCAGCCGGCTGCAGCTGTTCATGCCCCGGTAGTCCCCGTTATGGTAGATGATGAGCATAGGAGACTTGAGATATTTGGGAGGTTTCGACCTCTATCATTTAGCGGTGCTGAGTCAGAGGATGCTCAGGGCTTTCTGGAAAAGTGCCAGCGAATGCTTCGGACAACGGGTATTCTGGAGACCAGTGGGGTCTCGTTCACTACTTTTCAATTTTTTGGGGATGCCTTCAGATGGTGGGAGGCTTATGAGAGGCGCATGCCAATCGGTGCAACACCACTTACATGGCAGGAATTTTCCATTCTCTTTTTGGAGAAGTTTGTGTCGCAGTCTTGCAGAGGAGCTGCATAGATAATTTGAGCAGTTACGTCAGGATGGTATGTTTGTGACGTAGTACGAGATGAGATTTTTTGAGTTGGCTCGTCACGCAGTTTGATTGGTTCCCACTGATAGGGAAAGGATTAGGAGGTTTATTGATGGCCTCAGATATCAGTTGCGGTTGCTTATGACTAGAGAGAGGGTATCTGGTGCCACTTTTGACGAGGTGGTTGACATTGCTCGACAGATAGAGGTGGTCCGTAGCCAGGATTGTGGTGAGAGGGAGGCCAAGAGGCCTCGAGGTTTGGGCGGTTCTGGTGGGGTACCTTCTGGAGGGCAATCCTACCACAACAGGGGTCGTCTTTACAGACACGCTCAAACGGGTCGTCCAATTCACCGTGGTGCATCATCGAGCCATAGTTCATACAGTTCTCATCAGGGTCAGATATCTCTCAGTGCACTTTCAGCCCAGAGTACACCATGTGCTCCTTCAGTTCAGGGATCATCTGTGCCAGGTTCTTTTAGTACTTATTCTGGTTCTTGAGGTCTGCCTCAGAACTTACCAGCCTTTTCAGAGAGGGATTGCTTTGAGTGTGGAGACTTGGGCCACATAAAGAGATATTGTCCCTACCTTACGCGGGGTCCAATTCAGCAGAGGAGTCATGTTACGACTTCTGCACTAGTTGCTCCACCACCTGCCCAGCCAGCTCGGGGAAGGGCTCAGTCAGCTAGGAGCCGCCCAAGAGGGGGAGGCCGATCAGGTAGCGGTCAGGCCCGATTCTATACTTTTCCTGCCAGGCCAGATATTGTTGCCTCAGATGTAGTGATCACATGTATTGTCTTAGTGTGCCATAGTGAGGCTTCGATATTATTTGACCCTGTAACTACTTATTCGTATGTGTCATCATACTTTAATCATTATCTGGATATGCCCAGTGAGTCCTTAGTTTCACCTATTCGTGTATCTACACCGGTGGGCGATACTATTATTGTGGACCGTGTGTATCGATCGTGTGTGGTAACTACTGGGGGACTGGAGACTAGAGTTGATCTCTTATTGATTAGTATGGTTGATTTCGATGTAATTCTAGGTATGGACTAGTTGTCCCCATGTCATGCTATTCTGGACTGTCACGCAAATATCCGCACATATTTGAGACTCTAGGTATAATTCTAAACCCGTTCGAAGATGAATGTTTGTTTAAGAGGGGGATACTGTAACGACCCGGTCGGTCGTTTTGAGTATTACAATCCCGTTCCCCCATTTGCTGCTCAATTTATGATTTACGGTTGTTATTTGACTTGCCGCAGTAATTGGTTCAGTCCCGGTAAGGTTTTGGAGTGATTTGGAACACTTAGTTCCAAGGTTTAGAACTTAAGTTGAAAAGGTTGACCGGATGTTAACTTATATGTAACGACCCTAGAGAAATTTTTTCTAAGAAAATTGAGGTTTTGTGGTGCCGAGCTAGATCAATTAGTACAAAGGTCCGCAGCTCAGACTTTTTAGGTTGAAAAATGCGTTGGCGAGTAAAAGAAAATTTCGGGCAGGAAAATACCTTTTTGCGGCCCACTATGCGGCCACACAATCACTCTGCGGACCGCATAATGGCCGCAGAGTGAAGCAGAAATGAGCCAAGTTTGAGGACCATTGTGCGGTCAATTATGCGACCGCATAATCATTTTGCTGACCGCAAAACCTATCGCAGAATAAACTTGGGATTTCTGGAGGGAAGTTATGCGGTGTATTATGCGACCACAGAACAAGTCTATGATGCATTTTGCGATCGCATAACAGGTCTGCGGGCTGCATAACAACCGCAGACCCAGGCAGGCGACCCCCAGTTTTGGGCACCAATTTTTGCGGCCGATATGCGAATCGCATATCATTTCTACGATCACATATGCGACCGCAGAGTGTCTTCATTTTTTTGGTTTTATAAACCCGACCCCATTCTTATAAAACACTATTGAGGGTCATTTTGAAGGGTTTCATTAGATATTTTAGAGAGTGGTGAGAGCATCTTAGAGAGAGAAAGTGAAGACTTAGTCAATTGTGCATCAATTCTTGTTCAAGACTTGAAGATTTCACAAGGATCTTGCTAGGGCTTCAAAGAGGTAAGAATTTCTTCCCCCAATTCTTCAATTTTGATTTTTGGGGTAAAACATGGGAGGTTAAGAGTATGATTCTTGGGTGTAAGAGTATCAATTATACATACATATACTAATAAGGTTGTGGAAAGATTGTTGAGTTCAAATGGTAAAGATTGGGTTGATAACGGTAGAAATCTTCATAGACTTTAATTCAAGATTTGAGGGTCGAGTTGATGTCGGAATTTGGTGAAATTTATATGGTTGGACTTGTGGTTGGATGGGGTTCATATTTTATAAATTTTATCGTGTTCCGAGATGTGAGCCCCACGGACAATTTTTGAGTACAATTTCGGACTTTGTTAGAAAATTTGTATTTTCATATGGAATTAATTTTCTATAATTTGCATTGACTAAATCGAATTAATTATGGCTAGATACGAGACTTTCGGAGACCAATTTGCGAGGCAAGGGCATAGTGGAGTAAGAAATTACGCGATTTGAGGTAAGTAACACTTCTAAACTTAGTTTTGAGGGTATCCCTGAATTACATGTTGTATGAATTGTTTGGAGATGACCCACACGCTAGGTGACGGGCGTGTGAGCGTGCATCATAGGAATTGTGACCAAATTGATTCTGTGGAGTTGCATAATTAAATAAATATCATTATCCGCATATCCTCCACGTGTTAGAAAAATTGAGCTGAGACTCATGTTAAAGATCATGATTTGGCTACGTGCCGATATATTTTGGGACCCACATAGGTCGTATTGTTGTTGAACAATTTGTTAAATTTACAATTTTGTACTCACTCACTTCTATCACTTGGAATATACAGTACTGAGTGATTGGGTATTTTAGATTGTGAGTACACGGAGTTTTCATTAAGGTGCATCACATAAAATATGTACATTGGCATGTAGATACAGAGATGTCATATTCCTCGTATTGTTTAGAATTGATCTGTTTTATTTGTACTGAAAGTAACTGTTGAACTTGAAAGCATGCCTACATTTATGTATTGTTATTATTTATACTGGACTGTACCTGCGAAGCTCGTTACTACTTTCAGCCCAGAGGTTAGTTTTGTTACTTATTGAGTTGGTTGTACTCATACTACACTCTGCACCTCGTGTACAGATCCAGGTACTTATTGAGGATTTATCTGTTGGAGACTATCAAGGTAGCTGCTCGGTATCCGCTGACCTTGTCTCTCTTTCCTTTAGTTATTGTATTGTTCTATACTTTCAGACAGTGTTTTATCAATCAGACTTTGTATTCATATTAGATGCTCATGTACTCAGTGACACCAGGTTTTGGGAATGTATTTTTATGTAAGGAATTGTAAGATTTTCTATGAAATTCAATGTTATGTTTTCAAACTTAATGGAAATTGCAGTTTATTGAGGTTGTCGGCTTGCCTAGTATTGATATAGGCGTCATCACGACAGGTTAGGATTTTGGGTCGTGTCAAATGCTTACAGAGTTACCAAAAGGAAATAAGGCATTGGAGAACAAGTGGGTGTAGAGGGTCAAAGAAGAGTATGATGGTAAGAAGAGATACAAAGCACGATTAGTAGTAAAATGCTTTCAGCAGAAGGAAGGAATTGACTACACCGAGATCTTCTCTCCTTTAGTCAAATTAACTACTATCAGGTTGGTGCTAAGTATCGTAGCTGCAGAAAATTTACATTTGGAGCAGCTAGATGTTAAAATTGCTTTCTTGCATGGTGACCTTGAAGAAAATATCTACATGAAGCAACCTGAAGGTTTTAAAGTTTATGGTAAAGAAAATCTTGTGTGTAAATTGAAGAAGAGTTTGTACGATTTGAAACAAGCTCCCCAACAATTATACAAGAAATTTAATGGATTCATGTATAACAATGCGTTCACAGGATATGAGATGGACCATTGTTGTATCAAAAATCTTGATGAATTCTATGTTATTTTACTGTTGTATGTTGATGATATGCTAATTGCAGGATCTAGCATAAATGAGATTAACATGGTTAAGCAACAATTAGTAGAGGAGTTTGAAATAAAAGACTTAGGACCAGCTAAGTAAATGCTTGGAATGAGGATTAGCAGAAATAGGTCTGAAGGAACCTTAAAGATGTCACAAGAAAAGTACATACAGAGGGTACTACGCAGGTTCAGTCTTCAAGATGCAAAGACCAGAAGCACTCCACTTGCAAGCCATCTTAATCTGTCAAACGACCAATCACCTAAGACAGATGAAGAAATGAAGTACATGTCCAAAGTTTCATATGCTTCAGCAGTAGGAAGTTTGATGTATGCTATAGTTTGTACTAGACCTGACAGAGCATATACAATTGGAGTTATTAGTAGATAAATGTCATATCCAGGAAAAGAACATTGGGAAGGTATAAAATAAATATTGCGATATCTCAAAGGCAACATAGTTATGACACTTTGTTTTAAAAGGAGCAATATTATCTAACAAGGTTTTGCTGATACAAATTTAGGCAGCGATCTGGATAGTCAAAAAAGTACCACGGGCGACGTGTTCACCTTAGGTTGTACTACTGTTAGCTGGATGTCCAGACTTCAGAAAAGTGTTACTCTATCTACACTGAAGCAGAGTACAGGGCAATCTTAGAAGTTGAAAAGGAGATGTTTTGACTCAAGAACTTTCTTAAACGTCTAGGTAAAGAGCAGGACAACAGTGAGCTTTTCAGCGATAGCCAAAGCGCAATTCATCTTGCCAAGAATCCAATGTTTCATGCAAGATCAAAGCACATTGAGCTGAGGTATCATCATATCCGAGAGTTGATAAATGAAGGTACTCTTTCCATGAAGAAAATACCAGGGTCGAAGAACCCGACGGACATGTTAACCAAAGTTGTTGGTGTTGATAAGCTGAGGCTATGTGCCTCAGATGGCCTTCAAGACTAATAATGGGAAGGCATCATATTAGAGAATAGCAAATCTTTTTTATTATATGGGTTTGAGGGGGAGATTGATGGGACAAACCCATACGTGTAAATAAAAAAAGTCAAAGAGAAAGAAACAAACAAGTGAAAAAAGAGAGAAAGAAAAGATAAAAAGAGACAAAAAGAAATATGAGTCAGGAAAGGTAGGCTGCAACAATATGAAAGAAAGAATTCGGCGCGTAGTTGCGGTGCCGTCCTACCGTATATTCACATTTGCTGAAACGTTTTTAAGCAGACGCTCTGCCTATAAATAGGCATTCCCTTCCTCAATTGTATGTCATTCCTCATATTCTTCTTTCTCTCTCAATATCAATAAAGTTATTCTCTGTGTGGCTATGGAGTAGACAAAAATTACCGAACCACATAAATCTTATCTTGTACAATTTATTACTTTTTAAAAAAAATATTTTTTCCCTTCAAGTAGACTGACACGCTTCCCAACAATAAGCATAAGTAGCAATGGGACTCTCGGGGGTGCTTATCCCAGAAGTTGAGAATATTATTTTTCAGAGCAACACTATTGATAGGAATTCCCAAGGAGTTGGCAAAGATACTCCATATACATAAGTGTGCAAAGGAATCATTGCTGAATAGGTGTAAATTAGTTTCAACTTGATTATATTTTGATAGAACTAGTTTGTATTAATGTTGACATTAGTGGCGTAGTCAAGAATCTTGCTAAGAATATTTAATCTTTAAAGAAGTTAATAATTTTTTTTGATGAGTGGGCGATGTGAAAATTTTAAATCAAACTACTTAATATTAAATAATAAATCATAAGATACTTAAAATAAAACTATAATTTTATAAATTAAAAGTAACATGAAAAGACAACGAAAGAAATTCTAGTATGCATAAAACTAAGGGAAAGAGAGAGAGTTAAGAGAGTGTGTAGGCTTAAGATTTGTTTAATAAGAAACTTACAATTAAGAATTACTTTTAAGATTGGTTGATTGTTTTACACAAATTTCAAGCTTTATTTAAGAGTTATTTATTTTTTTTTAAAAAAAAATTAAAAAGCTGAGTCAATTAGACCAAACAGGATGGTGTCTATTTAGTTTTGGATAACAAAAAGGCAAGCCATGCATATGGATTTGAATTCATAAGTCATAACACCTTCTTACTTTGAACACCTTTGACCATTAGGCCGTCTATATTAAGGGTTTAGGGTTGCACATATATTAAGGGTGTTCCATATATAATGCATGATCATATAAAGTGGTATTCTGATTTTTACCTATAACGTAGTATAATTTTCAGACGAAGGGGTGCTCGGTTGAGCGCCCTTGATACAAGGTACCTACGCAACTGGCTTGACATAATAGATTTATGCATAATATAAAATAATTATAACATGCCCTATATATAATCAACAAATTTTTGTCACGTGATCATATTAAAACAGTTTATCCTATCGAATTTTTGTTTTACAATATTGACCGATTAAAACCCAGCTTATTGCAACGACAACCAACAGCTACATTGTTGGTGTGGAATTATATACCGACTTAAACCAATTAGTGTAAGCGGAAGAATAAAAATAATAACGAGAGTAAAGTATATAAAATTATGATTAGGTAACTAGGAAATATATGAAGCTTTTAATTTAAATTAATTAAAAGATCTCATAACTATAGGATACGCAGATTAAAATAAATTTGGCTCATCCTGCTGCAACTAGTTGAACTACAGTAAAAACATAGGAAAAAGGGAACTACTAGAGTAAATATTACTTAAAAATATAAAACAACCCTAGCAAGCTCGATAGGGCATTTTTCAACAACCACATATGTGTAATAAATGATCCAGTACATCGTCATTCTTAATTCCGAGGCGCTGATGATCAGCAAGGCGTTTTCCATCAAAGAATATCAATTGTTTATGAAATCGAAAACCTTCCTTTTCTTGAATGGCGGCCTTAACATCTGCAATTGTGTCATCACTCTCTACCATTACCTTTATAGTATGTCCAGTAGGCGTTTTTACAGAGATTTGGGTAATTAGTGCATATCGAAGGACTAGGATAGAACCTTTCTTGATTCCCACAGAAAGAAGAGTCTGTGTATCTCGTAGAACTCCACCCTCCTCATTCAACAGCTTCTGTTTATTAAAAGAAATTCCCTTTTCTTCTTGAATGTATGCTTTGATAGCAGCTATACTTTCATCAGATTCAACCATTAGGAGAAATGTTTTTGATTCTGAATGGCCACTAACATTTATAACGTCCTCAACTCCAAACTTGGGCAAAATTTTTTTTGGTAATGAACGCCAATTGCTCACGTCTCTGTAAGTGTCATCTTGAATAATGATGGGCATCGTTCGATTCACTTACCAAGGATCTATGACAAAAGAACATGGCATATAAGCTTCTAATTTATTTTTTTCATAAGACAAGATAAATGATTTTATTAAAGAGTACCAAGAAGGTGCCAAATAGAACTAACGGAGAAGCTTTCCTCCTTATGTTGAAGTAATGCAAAAGCTAAAAGCATAAACTTCCATAATTAAGTAAATAATACGAAAATTTTCCTCTGCAGTATTTGAACCAGCATAACGAAAAAGCTAGCAAAAGGGCAGGCCAAGAGTTGGAATCTGCCAAATAAACAAAATGGCAAGTTTAAATACAAATCTACGTATACATAACGTTATATAGAAATAAAAATTAAAAGTAACACAATTAGCTGGCAAATTTAAAATGAAAATAAACAAAAAACATGCAGAAATATAATCTGCAAGTCTGCGACTAACAAGTTCACTGCAATATGTGAGTGGAAATCCACAACAATGATACTTCTTCATTGAACATCGTATATAAAAAGGTGAAAAACTAGTGTAGGACTTTAAAAAATCAGACTTTTGATCACAAAACTTAAAAAGAGAAATAAAAAAAAATTAGAGCATACCCCTTGTTGCATCCATTTCGAACGTTACTTTAATTTTGATCCCTTGGTGTGATCTCCCTCTCTTTCTTATCCCTCTCCAATTAGAGATGTGCATAAACTTCAAGACTTACATAAAATAAAATAAATGTTGTCCCGGGGGGACGCACATACGTTGTATGTATGGAGTTGCCATATTTCCCGTCAAAAGAGTTAGTTCTCATCAATTTACTCTTGAAAGGTGATTGAAACTTGCTGAGGAAAAATTGAATGCGAAATAGGAGTATTGATTACATAATAAAGTGTTTTCCCTCTATCCTGTAGATATGAGGTGGCAACTCATGAGTCATGATAATAAGCAGCTAGGTTAAGTAAAGAGCCAGGTTGCGAGACTTAAACTAGATTGTCTCCACTTTTTATCATCTAGACTCTTGAGCTGCCACCTCATCTACAAGATCAAGGCAAAACATTTTAGATATCCTTAAAATATTAGGTGTACCCAAAATAACAATATTGCGCTTCATATTAAATCTTTCTTATTGTATTTTTAGAAGTACATTTAATACACGCTCCTAATTATCCAAAAATATGACCTCGTAGTACTATACATGGCTATATAACTCAGGCCAAACCTATCTAAACTATTATTTTTTTGTCAGTTACCTACTTAAGCTATCGTGTGTCCCCAAAATTCCTTGAACGATATTCCCCTATGTATTAAGAACCCTTGTCGAATTTTTAGAGGCGTGTCTGTGTAACTAGGGGTGTACAAACCAAACTGGAAAACTGCACCAAACCGAAAAATCAAACCAAACCGATTAGGTTTGGTACTCAGTAACAAAAATGCGAACCAAACCGACATATAAATATATAATTTTTATATATACTTTTAAGACTTTATATAGAATTTTCTTTAAAAATGCCTAGAAATATTTGGGATTCTCTTATGGATTGTAATATTTAATAGAATATGAAATGTTCTATTTATATCAACTTTAAATAATGGGTTGTATGATCACTTTCTTATCAAGTTTTATTGAAATGCGTCAATCTCTTTGTTTTTCCATATTCATAAGTAAAGATCTATTAAATTCGTATATCTTTTTCGAATTTGAAGTGGTATATCGATAATTTAATATTAAATATATAGAACATAATTTAGGTATCATATAAATTTTTATGTTTAATTATTAGATTTAGTTAACCTTGAAAGTGTACATTAAGAAAAAATTATTGTGAGACGACATAAAAAAATAACTTTTATGTGTTACCAAGAAAATTCTCCCATAAAAATATTTTAATAGATCATATGTTTATTAATTTTTTTAATTTTTACTAAACAAATATTTACTTATAAAAAATTTGACAAAGTAAGATTGAAATAATATTTATGTAATAAAATTACTCGAAAAATTCGACAAAACCGAACCAATCCAAACCGATATAGTTGATTTGGTTTAATTTTGATAGAAACCGAACCAATCCGGTCCATGAACATCCTTATGTATAACTATATTAACTTATGGTTTTATACTAAGTTTTGATGTACTTTTATTCATGATGTATTACTGGCAAATTAATTCTAGATATTTTGGCTAAAATAGAATCTAGTGTAATTATTTTTCGGTTTCATTATGATTGTATTTTATGCTAGATTTTTATTGAATAAGTCCTTATTTATATTCACTCTGTAGCACACAAAATAAATAAATAAAATCATATAGTGTTGCAATTATAATACACAAAAAAGATTACACAAAACAACAGGCCACAAACAAGAAACCAATCGGCCAACAACTACATTCTCTAATTCTAGATTATACAATCAAGCTTCAAGAGATTCAACTACATTCTCTACAAGGTGTTAGGTTTAATAAGAAGATTTTAATTGGTGATCATTTAATAATATGGGTAAGACATGAAAAAAAATACTAAAACAAGAAAGAGAATAAATTATTTCGACGGAAACAAAAGAGGGAGAAAAAATTTCAGAGGGAATTGAAGAAGTGAAAAAATAAGAAAGAATGGTAAAAAGAATGAGGACGAAAGGTAAACATAAAGGAAATAAGAGAATTCTTTTAGAAAGTTAGGCTAATTAGCCGTTACATTAGCATTTTTGATGATTTTTTTCCAACCATCACGAGCTTTCAAGCGAGTTATTACAGAAGTTATGCCAGATAAATAACGAGGGAATTTTAATATGAAAGAAAATATACTTCAGGGAGTTAAGTATATATGTTAGTTTAAGTATGTATGTGACAAAAAAATTAATTTAACGAGATTTTAAGGTATTAACTTAATATTCTATTACGTAATCAATACTCCCATTTTGCCCGCCTTGCACAAAGGTGATATATTGTTACAAATTCAAAGTTACTCGGCGCATTCATTATTTTTCGTCTACGAGTTTCTCACCATTACAGATTGCATTTGATAATAAGTCCCTAAATACACTTCTCTTTGACGGGAAATATGCCATTTTACTTAATTACATACAATGCATGTGTGAGGGACCGCACAGCATTTATATAGTTTTACATCGGAAAGGATGTTGGAAGTAATTGTGAATTAGTATATGTTTTACACTAATGTGGGTTTGACCATTACGAGGTTCTAGCTTTTCGGAGGTCAAAAGTATGTTTTTTCTCCAAAAAAATAATTTTAAAAAAATTTAAGCTGTTTGGCCACTTTAGCCGGCAACAGAAGCAATTTTTCTATTTTTGGAAAGAAGCAGAAAATTCTAACTTCTTCCAAGAAGTAAAAGCAGAAGCAAAAAATTAATTAATTCAAGATAAAAATATCCGCATCATAAATTTATATTTTTCAAATTATCACATGTTGATTTAAGCCTTTTCTTTTCATTTTTGTTTCTAGTTTTTACCGTTCTTTTAAATTTAAAGATACCATATACATGAATCATATAGTAACTTTTTAAATTCTTTATTGACTTTTCTTGTATTTAATTTTTTCTTTGTGTAATATCTTGTAATTTTTCAAATTATCTTCTTCTTTTTTACAATAAAGCAAATTATCTACATCTTTCTTTGGTTTATCAATTCTCTTCCCACAAATAATTATTTGTAATTTCTTCTATTACATGTTATTAATTCCTGAATCTTTAAAACAATTATCAAATCTAATTTGTGAAAATTACCTATAAATAGGTAATAAATTTATAATTGCATCGCATAATCTATATATTATTAAAAGAAGAAGAAAAAACCTCCACATTAAGCTAAGTGACATCCTCACAGTAGGACATTTGGCAATTTAGGACAAAGTTAGTTAGGTTAGGTAATAATTATTATTTTTTAATTTAAATTTTATAAAAATTAAAGTATGCATTATGTGTTGAATAATTAGTTACTCTTTTTGAATTTGAATTTAAATACAGTTAATTATATTATTATTTTTTACGAAAATAATAATTTTTTATAATACTTAAAATTATTTTTATTTTACGCTCAATGCCATCTTTCAAGTTGACATTCAGAATCATCTTGTTACAACTACCATGACTATATATAATTTAATCTGATGGCATTCTTCTACTGATATGGAATTCAACTACTATGCTAATGAAGACATTACTCGAGAGATTGAGGAAGGAAATGTGCCTTCTGGTATTCCTTGTTGAGAAATGTTATCATGTGTGAGTGATTTTGCTTATTATTTCATGATGGATTATCAATATATAGTAATTTGTGGGTTAGACTTCTAATTCATACTGAATGGTATATTTTGATTATTCAAATCATCACGTAAACAATAAGTAATTATACTAGATAATATTATATGCCTTGGTGTAACTATATATGTTATATTGATTTAAATCTTTAATATGTATGATACTTTATGTGTGTTATTTTAATTAAATAAAATAAAAAAATAATAAAAACCTCTTACAATAAATATTTACGTTCATTTTTCTCTTTAACATAATTATAAGAGTTTAGTACTATCTTTTTTTGTAATTCGACACTCAAAAGAACTTTTTAGAAAGAATGGCCAAACATAATTTGTTTACCAAATATTGTAAAAAGTGCTTCTTAAATAAACTGCCAAACACAAATGGTTTTTTTCAAAAGTATTTTTCGAAATAAGTAATTTTTGGCGCCAAACGAGGGTATATAACTTGTAAACTCTATTTGTTGGAAAATGAGTAGACAATTTTGATAGTTCAAGAGGCATTCGTAAATCATAGGGATTCCCAATCGTCTCAATAATTATGTTGGCCTCCTACACAATGAATTATACCATAGTGTCACGTCCTTAGTCGTTAACTAAGTACACGTGCGGCACTTGACAATTTGCTCACGTTCTTGCTATGCCAAGTCAGCCTTACTACACTCAAGATCGCTAAGAGAATGGTAGAAAGAACACAAGAGAATTGTTAAAGGAAGCTTTGTATTAGAGAGAACTTGAATTTTTTGCTTG